CTGCCACAATTATTGTTTAAAATGCATTGTTTTATTCTAGATGTATGTACATAGTGACATCTGTGTTTCTGTACAATTTTGAACTTATATTTCAGGTATGCTATCGCATTCTTATGCAACTCTGTGGACAGTATGATCAGCCAGTGCTTGCAGTTCGAGTGCTTTTTGAAATGCAGAAGGCTGGTATTGACCCCAACGCCATTACTTATGGTTATTATAATAAGGTAAATACCTTGATTTAATGGATAAAGAGTATTACTTTTGTCATTGTACAACCTTAAGTTTAATGACAGAAATAATTATGCAGGGGGTTATTTGTCATTTATTTTAGAGTATATAAAATAAATTTTGTCAAGGAAGACTTTTAGTTCTTTTTTATGTTATACAATCTACTTTGATTTTTTTTTTCTTTGAAACAGAGTGTCACTCTGTCACCCAGGCAAGAGCGCAGTGGCATGATCATGGCTCACTGCAGCCTTGACTCCCAGGCTCAATTGATCTTCCACCTGAGCTTCCTGAGTAGCTGGGACTACAGACGGGTGTCACCATGCCTGGTTAATTTTACTATTTTTTGTAGAGGCAGGTTTTCACCTTGTTACCCAGACATGTCTCGAATTTCTGGGCTCAAGTGATTCACCTGCCTCAGCTTCCCAAACTGCTGGGATTACAGGCGTGAGCCACCGTGCCTGGCCTACTTTGGTATTCTTTAGCTCGATTCTGAAACCAATGTATGTTCACTTATAAAAAATTATCTTACTAATTATTTTATTTTGTTGAATGAATAGGCTGTTTTGGAAAGTACCTGGCCTTCAAGAAGTCGTAGTGGCTATTTTCTTTGGACAAAAGTAAGAAATGTTGTTTTAGGAGTAACACAGTTCAAAAGAGCTTTAAAGAAACATGCACACTTATCACAAACAACTCTCTCAGGTAAGGGATGTATGTGTTTTACTTGTTTTTCAAAATTAATTGACTAGCTACAGTTTACATTTTTAGAAATTTTAAATAGCTTTAAAATATTGAATATGTTTTAGTTTTTACTGTTGTTAAGCAAATTATAATATTACTTTTCCCATTTAAAAACCACCAGATTTCTCTTCTGTTTCAAATGTTTCAATTTCTGACCACCTTTGTGTGTATTGTTTTAGTGTTCATTAATAACTCACAATAGGTTTATTTGTTATAGTTGTGTTTTGCTAAGTATTCAGCACTTTTCATGTTCAGTATTATATTGGTGGGTTATTAGCTTGAGCAACAAATTAATGTGTATTTTTCATACCTCCTTGAGTAGTAAAATGCTGTCAAATTGTGTTCTTAAGCAGATGGCAGTGACCTGGATGCTGTTAGTCATGGCAGCATGGATAGTGGTCATGGGACACACACTGTGGAGCAGGCACCTTTTAATACGGGTTTAATCAAAGTATATGCTACTGATGATAGATCTAGTACAGGTTTGTGTATGCTTATGTATACATTTATTATAGTACATTTTTAAAACTAGATTTGCTAGCCTATGGTTTTTTTTTACATTTTCATTTTCAGTGATGTGTTTAACTGTCACTTTTTCATTTTATATATTAGGTATTTGATTTGATATTAAATTTAATAACTATATGAAATTTTATTCATTTTTTATTTGAATAGAAATAAAAGTTTTAAGAGTGGTTATAAAGCACTTTATTCAAATATTTTGTCCGTGATAATCCAGTTAAATCTGGGTTACACATAGATCTCTTTACCCTATCATTTTCTTAGATAAATTCTTTGAATTTGTGAAAATGATACTATAGTTTTTTTAAAAAAGAAACATAGTTCCGTTATAAGTTAATAGTATTGTACCAACATCAGTTTCCTGGTTTTGACAATGTACTATGGTTATGTAAGGTATTATTATGGGGGGAAGCTAGGTGAATCATAAGAAGGAACTGTCTGTACTGTAATGTTTTTGCAATTTCTGAGTCTTAAGTGATTTAAAAAGTCATAAAAATTTTAAATATATAAAAATACAGCATTCTAAGGCTGGGTGCGGTGGCTTATGCCTATAATCCCAGCACCTGGGGAAGCCAAGGTGGGTGGTTCACTTGAGCCCAGAAGTTTGAGACTGTCCTGGGCAACATAGTGAAACCCTGTCTCTACAAAAATACAAAAATTAGCTGGGCATGGTGTCCCATGCCTGTGGTCCCAGCTACTAGGGAGGCTGAGGTGGAAGAATTGCTTGAACCTAGGAGGTTGAGGCTGCAGTGAGCGATGATCAAGCCACTGCACTCCAGCTTGGGTGACAGAGTGAGACCCTGTCTCAAAAAATTTTTTTAATTTATATATACATAAAATAATAAATAGTATTACATATGTATATGTAATAGTATTTGTATAATATATGTTTGTATAATTCATATACACATAATGTGTATATATATGTGTATATAGAATTATATATTTTATGTGTATATTTATATATGTGTATATATAGAATTGTATATTTCAGTGCTAGAATTGTAGTGCCAAAGATGGCATTAATTTAATAGAAATATAAGATTTGTATATCAGCTTTTCTTAAGTACTATTACAACTGACACACAAATATAAATTATTTACATAATTCTGTTCTTTTTATTATTACATTTCAAAAATTACACATAACTTTTGAATATAGATAAGAGCAAGCCCTTCAAGGACAGCAACTTTAAAAATTGAAGCATTACTAATAAAATATGAAGGCTCCTATCTCTGCAAATGTCAATATTATTTTGGTCTCTCTCCTTTTATACCTACTTGTAAGATTAATAAATGTAAGCTAATTTTGTTGAAATGTAATATTCACAGTTATTCTTCCTTGAGTGGTTTTATTCCTTGATTATACAGTATGATTTCAATCAGTTGTAATAGTTATCCTCTGGCATTATCTCTTCAAAATGAAGAAATCTTACCTGTTCACTTTGGCTTTTAAAAAAGCTATCTTAGGTCTGGTGCAGTGGCTTGCACCTGTAATTCCAGCATTTTGGGAGGCCAAGGCAAGTGGGTCACTTGAGGCCAGGAGTTCGAGACCAGCCTGGTCAACATGGCAAAACCCCATCTCTACTAAATATGCAAAAATTAGCCAGGCATGGGGGGGCATTCCTGTAATCCCAGCTGCTTGGGAAGTGAAGGCATGAGAATTGCTTGAACCCAGGAGGTGGAGGTTGTAGCGACCCAACTGCACTCCAGCCTGGGCAACATAGTGAGACTCTGTCTCAAAAAAAAAAAAAAAGGCTATCTTAAAATAGTGCAAAACTTAATAAAAGCATGAATTTCATCAAGATTATTCTCAAATTTTTCTGTTTCTAGTTTCTTTAGAAATGGACCTGATGAAGTTTAATTAGAAAATATAAAATCTCAAAATTGTAACAGAGTAAATACCTAGTGATACTTAATATAATTTCATTAGAGAGTGCTTTACAAGTTTATAAAACCATTTTTCATGTATAGTCTCATGTTATAATAACCTCGTGTTTTACAAATTTGGGAACTTGAAATTGGAACAAAAAGTTATATCGTTACTTAAAATCACATGTCTCCTAAAATAGAGAACTAGGATTCAAAACCTTATCTTGTGAGACTAATCTGGCGAAAACAATTTTCTAAAAACGATGCAGAGCCTCTTTAGCTTAACAATGTAGTAGACGTTTTTTTAAAAATATTGATAGACCTTTTTCCTTTCTTTGAGATAGGGTCTCACACTGTTTGAGATAAGGTCTCACATTGTTGCCCAGGCTGCCCAGGCTGGAGTGCTGGGGTGCGATCATAGTTCACTGCAGCCTTGAACTCCTGAGCTCAAGTGATCCTCCCACGTCAGCCGCCCAAGTAGCTGGGACTATAGATGTATGCCAACGTGCCTGGCTAATTTTTTTATTTTTTATTTTTGGTAGATATGAGGTCTCACTGTGTTGTCCGGGCTGGTCTCAAACTCCTGGGCTCAAGTGATATGCCTGCCTCAGCCACCCAGAGTACTGGGATTAGAGGCATGAACCACTGCAACTAGCTCCTTTTGCTTTTCTTAGCAATATATTTAACAGTAGATATTTATCTTATTTCCATGTATTTGTACATTAATTACCTATCAATAAATTTGAAGAAATCCAATTTTTTAGTTAAATCATTTAAACATTTAGCTCTTATGATCTATGTGTGAATGTTCTGTTATAAATTCTATACAGATTTCTCTTCTCTTGCTTAGTTGAAACTCAGACTTTCAACTAGAAAGGTCACGGACTTGTATAAAGAATGTCTGGTTCGTCTGTGTCTTTTGGAGCTCATATAGTAGTGTGAATGTACATAGTTACTTCTGACTACAGTGTGGAGCCAAGAGAGTAAATTATTTCAAGATCACCTCTTTCTTATATTAATAGAGATGATGGAAGGGGTAGCTAACAAAATAATACTTTAAATTGGAAGTTATCCAGAAAAAAATTTATAAGAAAATTCAAATGCTAGTATGTTGCTCCTAATTCCAGTTGTACTCACTAAAGAAGTTTATGGTAGAGTTTTGTTTCTTTCTTTTTTTTTTTTTTCCCTTTTGTTTTACCAGGTGGCCAGTCTGATCTTGGATATAATTCATTATCTAAAGATGAAGTTAGAAGAGGGGATACATCTACTGAAGACATTCAAGAAGAAAAAGATAAAAAAGGGAGTGATTGTAGTTCCTGTAGGTATTAAGTCAATATTGTATTAAATCGTGAACTTATATTCATAGAAAGTACAAGTGCTTTTATAAAAGTCCTGTTGTTACTTTCCATTTTCCCATTGTAACTATTTGTCCCGTTACATGCCCTCTCAGCCACCACATACTCTCATACAAAAGCTTTATGTGTGAAGTATATAGTCTCAGTGGCAAAGCACTCCCCAAATCAAATACCGTTAGAATGAATGCTATGTAACTCCCAAAATACGTGTATTTAGTAGAAGTATATACACAATTCTTGAAACAGTATTTTTTTCTGAGATTTAACAATATTTTAAAGGTTGTGATCCTTTTGTAGTTCATGAGCATGATGATTGGGTGTTCATGCATGTTTGTGAGATGTACCACCCTTGAACCTTGTTATGACATCAGCACCTTACCCGTTAGACCCGAAAAAAAAAAAAAACTAAAGTTTGTTAAGGATTGTGATTATATTTACCTCCTTCCCCACTCAACCAAAAGCATTCCTTTACAGTCAAGGAGGAAATATAAAATTTGTGCATGGACCTTATGCATGATCAGTATTCAGTAGTTTGATCTATACTTTGAGGCCTCAAATAAGTGAAATCACTTATTTGTGGTTGACCAACAGATATAGAGGTGTTCACCATTTTCTTATCACCTATTTTCAAACAAAAATATGTAGAACTGGAAACCGCTCTTGATACCTCCTACAATGTCTATAGATTTTACTTCACTAGCATTTTCATTTTCATCTTTACAGTGTCAGAGAGTGAGAGTGCAAAAGGAAGTGCTGATTGCCTTCCTAAGCTCAGTTATCAAAGTTCTTCCAGCATCGTTCGTCTCACCGGTACAAGTAACAACAGTGCTGATAAAATAGCAGGAGAAAGCATGGGTAAGTTGTTATGTGCAGAATAATTTATATCTATCTGCATGATTAGTGAATACTTATTTTTTAATAGTCTTAATTTTTCAAGGTTATTTTAAAAATTGTTTTGTGCAGTCTCTCTTGGTATAGCTTAGTAACTTGAGTTCTACATTTTATAACATGCTGTGTTGAGGCTTGCATTATAACAAGGCATGGGGCAGACCTACAGCTTTTATGCTGTCTTTTGAGTTTAGACTGTTGGGACTCTTTGGAAGGGGAAAGTGGAATCAGGAGAGGTGATGAATCTTGGGGTACCATACACCTAGTTAAGTTTCAAATGAAGTATATGGTTTATTAGTTTCATATTATTCCTGTTTTTCCAGAGGCAAAAGGATAGTCCTTCAGATAGTTTAAGTAACAATACCCAATGATTTTTCTTTTCAAAGTCTTAATATGAGAAAACGTATATATTATTTTATATTAGATATGTTAATATAAAATATAGCAATGCTTCTATCAGAGGGGATATTAGCACTATGTTAAAGATGAGAAAACTAAGGCATACTTCAGTGATTGGCAGGTCACATAAATGGTCAATAGTTAATGGAAAAGTCAGATTAGAAGTAGAATAATATTTGGCCTCACAAGTTTTCCACCAGACCATTTTTAGGGGATTAAATAGACTTAAGATTCGGAGTTATTAGTGTTAATAGTGTGATTACCTTGTAACTTTTTTTTTGTATTAGCTTAATTTTGCCTGATATTGTAATATAAAAAATATTGAAGCACATGTGCTGTCAAGGCTGAAATATCTCTGTGTTTCAATGGCCTTGGTGAATTGTGTTTGGTTTTTTGCAACACGTTAGATATGCCTCCAGTTCAGGTCGGCAGACTAAGGCACAGGGACCAGTTTGGCCTGAAGCCTGCGGCTGTACCGGCCCACAAGCTAACCAAGCTCTAATGGTTTTTATGGTTTTAAATGGTCAGAAAATAATCAGAGAAGACCAATACTGTGAGACACACGAAAATTTTATGAAATTCAAACCTCAGTTTTCATAAATAATGTTGTGGGAACAGACGTGCTCATTCATTTCCATATTGTCTGTGGCTGTTTTTGCATTGTAACAGCAGAGTTGAGTGGTTGTGACAGAGACCACACGGCCTGCAAAGACTACAGTATTTACTTTTTAGCCCTTTGTAGAAAAAGCTTGTGGAACCCTACCCTTATCTATCAAGCAAACAAAAAAGATGACCTATAACTCTTATTTTGCATTTCTTTGTTACATAATTGTTATAATGTAAACATTAAAAATTTTTTCATCAATATCATGGAGTTGTTTCACAACCACTTAGTCCTTTGTAACTAATTTTCTAATTATAACTCTTAATAGCTTGCCTTTGATCTTTATTTTATTCTTTCATTTCTGTCTGTTCATGCTTGTCCTCCTCTGAAGATCTGCGTTTAATATTTTTATTTAAATATGAGTGTAAACCATCCTTTGATCTTGACATTTTGTCAGAATAATAAGCATCTGGTTAACATCTGGCTTTCAATTACAAATGAACTTTATAAAAGTCTAGAGTAGATTTCTTTGGTGTGAAGTAAAGTTATTTATCCTTGATGCTTTTGGCTTGAAAACTCTCATCTGTTAAGTACTATGGGTTTATTAATGCTGCCAAAGACCATACATGGGATATATAGGACTACTTATTATATACTTGTATATACTAGGATTTTGAAGCATTTTTCAAGTTCATTTATGTTTTGCAGTACAATATATGAATATTTTATTTATATCATTGGACACCCTTGTATATGTATATATGTGTATATATATGGGAGTAGAAAAAGATATATTTTTATGTTTGATTAGATTTTGAAATAAACTTATCAGTCTAATGGTCATCTTGATTTTTTTTTTTTTTTGAGACAGAGTCTTACTCTCTTGCACAGGCTGGGGTACAGTGGTGCAATCTTGGCTCACTGCAACCTCCACCTCCCAGGTTCTCATGTCTCAGCCTCCCTAGTAGCTAGGATTACAGGCATGCACCACCACACCTGGCTAATTTTTGTATTTCTAGTAGAGACGGGGTTTCACCATGTAGGCCAAGCTGGTCTCAAATTCCCCACCTCAGGCAATCCACCTGCCCCGGCCTCCCAAAGTGTTGGGATTATAGCTGTGAATATAACATATTATATTCCAGGTTGGTTTACTGGCTGCAGTTACTGCCTAATAGACAGTATTCATTCAGTAAATATTCTTTTAGATTCTACTATATGCCAGGCGCTACTGGAGATATAATAAGAAACAAAAAAATAAACATGGATCCTGCCTTCATGGAGACAGCAGGTAGAAGGGATGGGAAGACATTAATCAAGTACATGTGAGAGTGCTCTTAGACTAAGTACAGAAGGACAGTGAAGAAGGACAGTTAATTGCTATGAGAATGTAGATATGTCCTAGGTTTGGGGTCTTTAGACAGGGAAGACTTCCTTCAGCATTATCATTTTTGAGCTTAAATTTCAAATATGAGTGGAAAATAAATGAGAGTGGGGTCAGAAAGGAGGAATTGAGAGGGTTCATTCCAAGCAGAGGGAAGCATGTCTAAAAGGCTGTTTGGTAGGAATCCTACAGCATGTTCAAAGATCTGAGAAAAGGCTAGTATATCAGCTAGGCATGTGTTCAGCTTTAAGTCTCAGAATATATGATTAATAAGTACTGTGCTTAAAGAATTTGTGGTTTATTTTTCTCAAATAGGAAATTCAGAGGTAAGCAATTGCTCTAGATGTTGGTTCAACTGATTTGCCATCAGTTCTTTTGACCTAATCATGATTACAGTATGGCCACCAGTAACTCCACACATCACCTATCGAATCAAGGCAAAAAGAATGCGAAGGGAAGCACCAGCCATATCTATTTCTTTTGTCAGGAAGGTTTTTCCAAAAACCCTCACAAACTATACCTTAATATCACTGGCCGGAATCGTGTCATAGAGCCATCTAGCCCAAGGAAGTTAAATAGTTTGTAGTCTTTGTGTTAGAGGCATGTAGCATCCAGCCTAGCTTATAGAATTCAGCATGTGTGTAAACTTAGGATCAGGCAAACTTTTTTGTAAAAGGCTGGATAGTCAATATTTCAGGCCTTGTAGGGCACATACAATCTCTCTTACCTGTTTTTCTGGGTGCATGATTTTTACAACCCTTTGCAAATGTAGAAACTGTTTGAGACTACATAAACAGGCCTCAGGCTAGATATGACTCGTGGGTATAGTTTGCAAACCTCTGGTAAAGTCTGATAACAGACTTTGTCTTCAGATCATAGTATATCACTGACTCTGCAAAGGAGCCATTGCACATCTATTTAGATACAATTTCAGAGCATAATCTTTTGGTTATAAGATTTCCTTCAGGTCTTTAGTAATATTTAAACTGTCAAGCAGAACATTTCCCAGAATATCAGAAGAAAGTGGGTTTTTTATTTCTCATGTCCTCAATCGTAAGCTGATGAAAAAAAGAATAAACTGCTTCTCTGTCATTTTTCTTGTTAATGGTATATACTATTAAGTAATAGTAGATATCAGCTTTTATGACCTCTAGTATCCTGTCTTATCTCTTGCCCTGCCATTTGCAAGAAAAGGTACATTTTTAATACTTGTCTGGCTATAGTGAGCTGATTCTGTGGATAAAGCACGTAAGAAGAATAGTTGAGATACTCTACCTAGACTAATGCTTTAGAGGACTCCCACATATAGTAAGAACAATTAAAGTGATCAGAAATCTAGATTTCTGCTTTTAGTATTATCTGAGTAATTTGGTAGAAAGCAGTGAACAGTGTTTTCAAATAATGTGAAGTGGCCATTAACATTTGACTGGTATGAACTTGCAGTCAGTATGTTAAGCAAATGTAAAATTAGCCACATTTATAGTTATAATGATTTGGAGGTTTTTTTTATTTTAAAGAAAAAAACCCTTTATTTATGGATAAAGTTAACATACTTCCATTTTGTTTCGTGTTTTGGATGTTTTTCTTTTTCATTTTAATAAGGAGAAGATTCACAATTTTGGCTGGGCATGGTGGCTCACACCTATAATCCTAGCACTTTGGGAAGCCAAAGCAGAAGAATTTCTTTTTTTTTTTTGAGACAGAGTTTCGCTCATGTTACCCAGGTTGGAGTGCAATGGCACAATCTCAGCTCACCGCAACCTCCGCCTCCTGGGTTCAGGCAATTCTCCTGCCTCAGCCTCCTGAGTAGCTGGAACTACAGGCACGTGCCACCATGCCCAGCTAATTTTTTGTATTTTTAGTAGAGACGGGGTTTCACCATGTTGACCAGGATGGTCTCGATCTCTTGACCTCGTGATCCACCCGTCTCGGCCTCCCAAAGTGCTGGGATTACAGGCTTGAGCCACCGCGCCTGGCCTTAGAAGAATTTCTTGAGCCCAGCAGTTCAAGACCAACTTGGGCAACATGGTGAGACCCTGTGTTGTCCAATTAAATTAAAAAAACAACAAAAAAAAGACAGAATCTCAAGGTCATCTAGTACAACCACAATTGTAAAA